AACATGCTAATCTTAGCCTATAATCACACGGGAATTACCTCCGATTATGCTCAACTGACAGCAATTCCTCGGACTCCCGTGCTCGTGCGTGGCTCTCCGCGTGCTTTGCGTTGCCGTGTGAGCGGTTACTTCTTGTGTGCGTGCTAGCGGTACTCTTGCGTGCGGTTTAACTCTCACTTCACTTAACTCTCTCAGCACTCAATATACTTAACATGAATGGGAAGGAAAAGCTGAAATTTTTCCCAACTCCCTTCAATATATACTTGACCGAGAGAAAACTTAAGAGGTGGGATTAATTTGGTAGCACTACCCATTTATGCCACATAATATCTTTAATGCTAAGTCATCAAATAATATGCTTAGTCACTCTTAATCTCATGAGTGAGAGACACCTCATGCTTCACTATTTGAAGACCAAATTTCCCCCACTAATTGCTCTCGGCATTTGAGAATAATTTGGGAAAATCGGTACGGCTTTTGGACTAATGCGTGTGATTAATTATCAATTAATCACCTCATTATGTTTAATTATTTAATTAAACATAATGCTTAATTACCAAAATTATTCTGAACGTAAACGGACCGTCGAAAATAATTTCGGGTAATCTCGACTGAAAATAATTAATTAATTCCGAAAATAATACTCGAAAATATTATTATATCGGAACTAAAAACATGATTTATATTAATAAACTGACGGGATATTACAATCAGGATACGATCACTAATTATTTCTCTAATCAACAGACAATTCTAGATACGATCATAGAGTTTAATCTATCAACAACATTGAAATCTAGAAGGACCACCAATTCTAACCAACAAACACACATGTAGGACATTTAGACTAGATCGTATATCTCCCTAAACATAAAATCAAAAACCCTTAGTAATTAACTATGTTCTCTGCCACCAATATTAGAACAATCAAACAATTACATATTTATTATCCTAAATGGTGATATGCTATTCCGGTAATTGAACAAAGATCTCTTTTTGCATCAATCAACCAAAATAACAATTGATAATAAACACAAGAGAAATACGAATAAAAGAGAATAGGGAATTGAAAACTCAATTAGATCTCACAAATCATGTAGAACCAATTCATAAATAATCCTTTGGCTAGAAAAATAATTTAGCTATCCATAAACATGGTAGTATTCTCCATAATATTCATCCTAAAAATAATAAAGACAGTAGAAATAAAATAAATTGAAGAAGAAATTCTTCTGTCCGTGAGTGCTTGCGTTCGTCTTATGTTCCAAGCAGATCTCGCAGATGACAGATAAAAAAATAAAAACGACGTACTGAATAGAAGAGAAGAAAGAGAGAGGAGAGAGAAAAATAATACCTAGCAGTCTAATTTTCAGTCTAATCTTAATCCTAGAAAAATACGTAGAAAATAATATTCTCTCTCCCAAATATCCTAATAAATGAAAATAGTCCTTAAATAAATAAAAAATAAAGTCTTTTATTTCTTTTTCCAACTTGAGACTCCTTCCTTCTTCCAACTCTTGTAGGAAATTAGCGTGCCATGCCTTAGCTCAAATTCGTCTTTTTCGCCCTCCAATCATCTTACATTTCAAATTTCGAGATATCCTAAAAAAAAATTATAGAAATCAATTAAAATCCATAATTAAGCTCAAATAAACACCGAAAAAGAATGAAAAACATGACAATTAACATGCCAAGAATATGACTTATCACTATCTGCTTATTTATTTTAACTGAGTTACATGGCCTTACAAGTTGTACGTGCCCTGCATGGTCTAACTTGAATTGTTGGTGTTATATTGTTGACTGGAAACCCTTATGAGAGAAGCTTTACGCTAAGATCTCGAAGTGTGAAACTATACAGTGAATGTGAGTTGAGCTCATTTAGGGCTGCTGACACGATTAGCTACATGAGAACGAGCTAACGTAGCTGTCGACACTGTTAGTCGAAAGAGTTAGGCGAGCTAATCACTTCATCGTTTGGCAATGACCGTTGGTTAGTAGTATTCTTTGCTGGGGAGCCGAAGTTCGATCTCTTTGGAAACTTCCCCCATTTCCATCTATAGATATTCGCTTGTTCGATTGTGTCGATTTGGTAAAAAAGTTGTGAACTTGGAAGTCGATTTTATGCCTTGTTATAAATTACAACCCTTGAAACCTTCGAGATTGTTTAGCACCTAAATACAATGGGAAATCTTTTTGGATAAACCCTAAATTTTCGTTGTTATGAAAGCTTTCTAGAAAACATTTTTTTCTTTCTAGTTACCTTGAAAAATATTAACCCAGAATTTGAAATTTCTGGTTAGTACCTTAAACCGAACGCCGACCCTGGCTAGTGTAGCCACGCGAAGTGATGGTCGAGCACGCAAGCCTGTGCTGAGAGATGTGAGGCCAACTGCAGGGCCACCATTGACTCGCACGAGTGTTGCAGCCGTCATCACCGAACGCACGAACTACCCATGCTAGTGTGTACGACCAAATCTCGACCTTACCGCTGGTCTCCGTATAAGTACACGCACGTGTCCCAGCGCCCTGCATATGCAGCGCCAGCGAGTGTGCCATGTCTCGGGTAACAGTGCACTAACCCGAACCATTGATCCATTTTGGTTTGTACGACGGGTTTTTTCGTATGAAACAAAATTCTCCCTTGAAACGTTCTTCTGGAATTTGAAGCAAGAACTCCAAGTTTCACTGAACCATTTTATGAAACCACTAATCAACAATTCTCAATTAAGGGAGACTTTTTGATTAGTTTCCTATGCGATATGCGAGATTTTCTCGAGATGACGAGATAGAAGTCCGACATTGATGTCGGGCGGAGTCTTGAGTCTCGATTGGAGACTATGTGTGCTTTGTAGGGTTTGAGACTACAAAGAGAGAGAGTGTAATGGAATTAGACTATTAATATGGGGTTCTCTGGTGGCCTGTTTGACACGGACGCACGGATCATGACGAAGTAGTGGACGAGTCTTCATGCGTGACCCGGGCACGAGACTGAAGCTCAATGCTACGAGTCAACCCTGTTTAGTTAGACTGTGTGAGTATGATATCAAGACATGAAAAGATCGGTTAGGGTCTTGTGTATCGATAGATGAGTAGGGTGTGAGGTGTTCCTTACCATGGGGAATGTATGCTGGTAACGATGGTTATCGAGC